AGGGTGAGGAAACAATCCAACCAAAGGGATGACAGTTAGAATCAAAGTCACTGGTCCTCTGTGGTCAAATCTAGAGAGGTCCAGAGAGAAAGAGAGCACCAAACAGTCTCAGACTCTGAAAAAGGGCATGGCCTCACACCAGAATTTTGATGCGTCTGAGGTTGGAAAGGGCTTCTGGTAACACGGCTCATTCACCTGGACTGCTAGAGCTGCACATTGCAAGGGCTGAGAGCGGCCATGATTAGTCTAGCAAGTCTTGAGAGCAGCTCAGAACCATGGCAGCCGGCCACCTGCTGAGCTGCCCCTTCCACCACCACGTCAAGCCTTGTGGAAACCAGGAGTGGTCCCAGGGTGAGCTCTGAGAGATCCTCAAAGGTTGGCCTGCTTCAAAGCATTCCTTAAGAGACTTTCTATGATCAAACTGCATTTAGGTATGCATTGTGTTACTTGAGAGATGTGTCACAGTCATTAACTGATCATTTAACTGCAAATCTATCCATTCTTAAAATACACTTAGCATGGCTTCTCAATGCCATGTATAAAGTCCTCAGTATTTAGCTTGGTAAAGGATGCCCATCTGCCTGCTCTGCGGCTGTCTCTCTCCCCTCTCCCCCGACCTCACACCCCTCATGCTCCATCCACACGCAGCTACATCCAATACCAAATGCCATTTACGTCCTTCCTGCTCTTCCTCCTTCCTCTGCTCCCTGTGCTCTTCCCTACCTGGTAGACTCACAAACATCTCATCTCTCAAGATTCAGCCTTGCTCACCCTTGTCAACCTTTCCCTAAGCACACTGTGGGCAGGTGCTCTCTCGGTCACCCTAGTGCCCATACATACTTCTGTTAGACCACTTAGAATACTCTATAACACCCGTGTCCGTTTTCTGTGTCCGTATTCCCTGCTGGACCATAAACTCCTAAGGGCTGGGTCTGTATGAAACAGGTGTTCGTGTCTGGCTCAGAGCAGTTGATTTAAAATATTTGTTGGATGGAGGCACGTGTGAATGGATAAGGACCAAGGTGTCTCTGTTAATCTTCTGGGTTCTGGTAATAGAGGGATGAAGGCCATCTCCCTGCCCTCCAAGAGCTCACTGCAGATGACAGAAAACGAGTACCAAAGGACAATGAGATAGAATAAGTCAGACCACAGCATGTGAGCCCAGCCATGGGCACATGAGCTCAGCTGAGGGTCACCCATTCTGGTGGAGAAAAGAGGCGTGTACTCAAGGATACTTCCTACAGGAGTCAACACATGATCTGGATCTGGATCCTGTTGGACCAGGGGAGTCAGCCACAGAGGAAGGGGAGGGAGCGGCACGTTAGGCAGAGGGATGAGCAGGTCCCAAGCAATGAAGGTGTGAGTAGCAGCAGTGTGGAAATGGCTCAGACTCCACCGAGCTGGAATAAAAGGAGAAATGTGGGGGAAAGGCAGCAACACAGATAAAGAGGCAAGGGAGGACCCATCACGCAGGGCCACAACCCCACTAGGGAATCTGGAATTTTTCCTAAAAAAAAAAAAAAAATGGAACGCTTCTAAGAAAAAGCGAGAACATGGTAGGATTTGCAAATATAGAGATGCCCCAGGAGAAGTATGGGGCCAGGCTGTGAGGCCAAGATGGAGATTCCAACAAAATCTAGCAGAGAACTCATGAGGGCGGGTTGAAGGCAGGGCAGTCAGATTGAAAAGGGTGTTCAGAGTGGAGGGGTCCAAGGGAGGCCAAATTGTTAGAGTCTGGTCACTCTGTATAAAGAAAGCGGGGGCGGGGGGAGGTAGGCATACAGATGCCACCCCCCCAGGTCAACAGGGCAGATGCTGGTGTTCATGGGAGCATGCATACCTATGGAAGAGAGGAGAGCGGCTTCAGTTTTGTTCATACTGAGGCTAACACACCTCAGGAACCCCCAGAGGGGTCTTCTCAGTAGGCAACGGGCTGTCCATTCCTGAGGCTTAGGAGAGAAGTCTAGACAAGAAAAATAGACGTGGTACTCCTCAGCAACCAGGTGCTAGCTGGAGCTACGTGGGCAGATGAGAGAAGAGGATCAAGCCCCAGGACATACCACACATGTGGGCAAAATTCTCAAGAAAGAGTCTGAGACAGAATACCCAGAGATACAGGAAGAATAAAAAAAAAAAAAAAAAAGCCGCAAATGACCTTTTGAAGAAGAGAGCTTCAAGAGGGGACAGTGAACTGCGTGATCAAGTCTTGCAAAGTGGCAAGTCAGGAAAAAAGCCTGAAATATGTTCATGTGTGGCCAAATCTTCCCAGCCCTCGTCAGCCTGTAGGTCCATACGGGGTCACATGAATAGTACCAACCACCATTTCACCCACATCGCTGGCTTGCTGCCAACCATCTGTAGAGCAGGACCGCCACTCCCTGAAGAGAAGTCCTCCGTCTCCCATTATTTCTCTGAGTGCCTGGGAGGGCAGTGCACAGGCCCAAGAAGAGTGCCCGAGTGCTCCTCCACACACACCGGCATCTGATGTTCACAGCACTTGGGGACAGGGCCTCCCCGCAGCCCCCCGGAGATGCCCCTGAGGTTAATGGGTTCCATCTCTTGAAATGCCAAAGCGACACACCACGATGCTGAAGGAGCAGAGTTATTCTACACTCTGACTTCTTCCCTGAGCTGAAGCCACAGCATTTTCTGAGAAATGAAGAGGACACCCCCTGTTTGTCATCTGTTTGTGCTCCATGTCTCACAGAGTTCCTCCTGAAAATGCCTTCTTCAGCCATGTGGCCATCTGTCTTAAGGCCCCAAACACCAGTCCCTGGGGCTGAGCTGTGGAGCAGACTACAGAGTCTCCCCATATCCCAGGCTCTGCCCCAGTGACCCAAACCCCCAGGGGACCCTGTGTACACAGATCTTTGGTGAAGTTCACTCCACCAGTTTACCAAAAACTCCACACCCACACTTGTGAATTAGTCTGTCAGGACACCTAGCCACACAATGACTTAGCAAAGGAGTTGCAGCAGAACAGCTGATAAGGAGGTCAGATTGCAATGAGGTGAGGAAAGAGTGGGAGGTGGGGAAACTACAGATAGCAAACAGAACAGCAAGTTTCCTGACATTTGACTGTGGGGAAAAGTCGAAGGAGATGAAAGGTGGTGGGGTGGTTTTCAACCAGGAAGGACTTGAACAGAGTTGCATGCTGGCCAAAAAGAGCCGCAGAGAACAGGCGACCCCCAGACACTGGGAGGACAAAGGCTCTGAGGGAATAGCCAGGTACAAGGCCTGCCGATGAATCTGGGGCCCAGGGAAGAGAAGGTGGCACCCCTGAGGTCCCTGAAGAGGCCCTGGGCCCCGGGGAGGAGCCTGGCCACATGAGCGCCCACAAAAGGAAGGAAGTGAGTGGAAGAGGAGAGAGAATCTGCCCTGTGCTTAGGCAGGAGGAAAGTGAAGCCAGGGGCTGGGCAGGACAAGCCACCTCAGCGCCCCCCCCCCGCGCCCCCACCCCCCGCCCTCACCCCTAAGTACATTCCTCTTGTTGACAGAGATCTCAGTAGCTCCCTCTCTGTGACTCAAAATCTGGGTTTCTCATTTTGCCATTTAATTTTAGTAATAAAAAGAGCTGCTTCTGGGAGTCCATCTTCTTCCCTCTGTCAATTACATGATGCTGGGGACTCCACAGACATGCTGATCATGGAAGGGTCCCTCGCTGGCCCCAGCCCCACCCCTCCTGAAGGAGTTTCAGTGTAAAACTTCCTGAAGAAAAGAACAAAATTTTACTTTAAAAAAAAAGTGGTGTTTCCCGGATTGATTTAACTTACTGCACACAGGGGGGTCAGAACTGAACCTAGAACAGAAGACTCTGCTCCCCCCACACTAGGGACTGTGGGCTGGCCAAGCAGGGGACAACATCACAGTTTCCGGTGCTACAGCCCCTGCTTGAGGTGAACGTGGTAGCCCAGTTATTACACCACTTCATTCCCAAACACTGAAAACAAAGGGGCACAAACGGAAGGTTAAACAGAGAAAAATACCCTCCTTGAACCTGCAGTTTGAAATCTGGGTGTGTGCTGGAATTTGCTTTCATGGTAAACTGATGTTCAAGGGTCCCAAAGTCAAATGCTTATGGCCATAAAGAAGCAGATGCCTCCAAGACAGGAGCTAGCATGTGGCCTGTAGCAAAAGGGAGTCACTGTCCGCCCTGCTGAGAGGGACAACAGCTCCTCAGCCCCAGCTGCTGCCACAAATCCATGCGACCAGACTTTTCAGAGAGAGGTTGCCAGACCAGATTCTTCTGTGAAATCTCCGGATTTTTAAGGGTTGGGAACTAATTCCATTAAAGCAATCACAGCTGCAAACACCCATCAACCGGGTCAAGTCAAATGCCCTCAGAGCCACGTCAAGATTGGATGCGAAGTCCCAATTTCAGTTTCATTTCCTCTAAGGTGATTTCCATGTTTCGTGAGTGATTCTGTTTCCGTGTGAGTGTTGGTGGCTCTGAGAAGTAAAACAAAGATTGGACTCCTAAGAAGTCACTGCTGGCTCAGCACCCTCCCCGGTGCTGGTCTGCATCCTTGATACTTCCCCAGTTTGACTCTGCTCTCTGCCAAAGGAAAGGCACTCCTGAAAAAGCTGAGGACAACACCGACACCCTGGATGTAGCTATTGATGAAATACAAGTATGCAGGGGCGCCTGGGTGGCTCAGTCGTTAAGCATCTGCCTCCAGCTCAGGTCATGATTCCAGGGTCCTGGGATCGAGCCCTGCATCAGGCTCCCTGCTCAGCGGGAAGTCTGCTTCTCCCTCTCCCACTCCCCCTGCTTGTGTTCCCTCTCTCACTGTGTCTCTCTCTGTCAAATAAATAAATAAACTCTTAAAAAAAAAAGGAAATAGAAGTATGCAGTCCTCGGCGTCTCTAGCTGGTGACTCATACCAGACTGAAATGACATTGGAGCTGTCTCTTTAAAACTCGAGCATGCTACCAGGCAAACTCCTCCTCCGGGGAGGTTCCTTTAACTGAGAGCCAGCTGGCCGGGCCATCGGTTTACACCCGAGCAATACCTGCAATTGAGGATTCCTCCCCAGGAGGCAGCTGCCTGTCAGCATGGCTCAAGAGTTTGTGAACAGCAAAATCCAGCCCAGGAAGGTGGTTGTGTTCATCAAGCCCAACTGCCCCTACTGCAGAAGGACCCAAGAGCTCCTCAGCGAACTGCCCTTCAAACAAGGGGTTTTGGAGTTTGTCGATATCACGGCCACCAGTGACACAAGCAAGATTCAAGATTACTTGGAAACGCTCACAGGAGCCAGAACGGTGAGTTCTCAAAGGCTGGGCAAAAGGTTCTCATTTTCTCTTTTCTTGTGGGGGCTGTGCAGGGGATCCGCCTGTCCTTTCTCTAGGACACCGCTAGGGCTCCGGCACTCAAGGCGCCGCCGGAGGGCTCTGCGGGGTGGGGGAGGGCGACGAAGAGAAAACACCGCTCCAGGGAACAGGCTGCTGGGCTGCAGCCGGAGGTCCTCGCGGACCCTGTGCCCGTGCGTCCGGGTCAGCGGGCCCAGCCGCTGTCCCAGGGTCGGTGAGCTATCTGGAAGTCTTTGTTTCAAGCACTGCCAGGAAGTGACAGTTTGCAGCTTGCAGGGCTGGGGTTGGAAGGTGGGGTGCAGGGGCCAGGGTGACCTGTGCGTTTCTGTTACTGAATGTGGGAATCGTATGCACTCTTTCTTCCGTGTTCACTTGGCCAAGCAGGATTTGCTGTCCTTCAATCTTTTCTCGAAGCTTTCTTTAACCATAAACCCAATTAGCCCATCCTTCCCTATCTCACCTAACTCCTCCCACTGGACGAATCTAAAGGCTCATGATTTGCCCCTTCTTCTCTGAGAGGCTTCCAGGTCTGTGCTAGTAGGGAGTTCAGGGGCCAGAGTTCCAGCCGGGCTCTCACAATGGCTTGCAGTGTGATCCTAGGCAAGACACCACCTCAGGGATCCTCTAGGACCTCCCCGGCTGCAAGACCAGACCAGAGCAAGGGACCACCAAGTCCCCTTTGCTCTCAATAGACCATGAGCCCCTCTAAGAACTACTTTTCTCTACCTAAAAAGGCTTCCTCTGCCTCAGCACCCCTGGCTTCTGGCGGGATGGCCAGGCAGCCAGCTTGCCTGAGTCTGTTCTGGCGCTGGGTGGGGTAGGGGCCGGCCCACCAGCTCACCCCAGTCCCCCTCAGGAGGCACATTCTCGGACACAGTGTTTGCAGAAGCACATATCCTGCTTCCGTTTGAGTTTGACTCACGGGCTTTTGTCTAGGTTCTGAGCATAAAGCATTGGAGGCTGTTTCTCCTTGCCTCTCCAGTCAGAGATCAGTATTTTGGCACAGAGGGGGGCTAAACCTGTTACCCTCTTGCTTCCAGGGCCCCAGCTGTGAGCTGAGGACTCTTGTGGCTGAGAGGGAGGTCCTGCAGCGGAGGACACAGTGGTCAGAGACTTCTGCTGCCCGGGGCCTGAGAGCCAAAGGGCAGGACAGTCCCTGCCAAGGACCCTGCTATGACGGGTGGATCCCTCTCAGCCAGTGGCTCCCAAACCTTCCTGCACATTGGCATCACACGGGGAGCTTTTTTTAAAAAATCTGGATGCCCAAGTCATTCTCCATATCAGTTAAGTCATTTATCGGAGGTGGGAGCCAGGCATCAGTAGTTTTAAAGATCCCCAGATCAAAGGGTACAAATTCTCAGTCATACGATGGGGAAGTTCTGAGGATCTAGGGGACAGCAAGATGACTGTAGTTAATAATACTGCATTGTATGCTTGAAGTTTGCTCTGGAGGAGGTCTTAAGTGTCCTCACCACTCATAGACAAAAGTTAACTATGTAAGGTGATGGACATGTTAATTAACCTGATTGTGGTGATCATTTCAAAATGTGTATGTATATCAAATCACAATATTGTAGATCCTCCATATATATAAATTTATTTGTCTATACCTCAATAAGGCTGGGAAAAAAAGTTTATTTCCTACCAAAAAAAAAAGATCCCCAGGTAATTCCAACGTGCAACAAATTTTGAGAGCTCCTTGTCAGCCTGGCAGCCTCTCTTCCTTAGCTGGAGACACCTCTTCATGCTTTCATTCAACACATTTTTTTCCCCTATCTCTTCATAAAGCGGCAATTTTTTAACTTTGTTTTTGAATTCTTAAAAAGACCTTTCACAGGTTCTTGGGCCCTGAATGCATTCCTCCAAGGGGAAGAACAGATCCTTTTACGGGGTTGCCTTCAGGTTCCCTTCCAAGGAAGGGTTTACTTCTGAAGAGATGAGAGATTTGGAAGTCGTTGCTCTTATTTACCCTGTAATGACATATGGTGATGGGCACATAGCAGGAGCCCAGCAGGACCTGACTTGTTCTAGAAACTTGTGTCTTCAATCAGGCCGTGTACTTGGAGAAACTGGGTTTTGCTATGGCAAAAACTCTTCAATCAGTACCTTCATTTATTCTTTCGCTCATGCTCTTCCTTTATGTAGATCCAAGTTTCTGACCCTTATCATTTTCCTTCTCTCTAAAGAACTTCTTTGAACATTTCCTGCAAGGCAGCTCTGTTGGCAACAAATTTCCTCAATTTTTGCTTGTGTGAGAAAGTAATTTCTCCTTCACTTTTGAAGGATAATTTTTTTGGGTGCAGCAATTTTTTGAAGCACCTACTACACATCAAGGCACTTTTAACCGCCATGAACAGAACAAAAACTCCTGCCTTTGTGGAACTTACATTCTAGTAAACACAGTAAGTAAAACAGTTTGTTGGAAGGTGGTCAGTAATAAGTGCTGTAGAGAAAAACTAGGTAGGAAAGGGAGGTGGACAGTAGGCAGCAAGGTCCAGTTTTAAAGGAAGCCATCAGAGCCTCACTGATTTTAGATCTCTAAAGGAGGTGAGAGAGCAATGCAGGCAGAAATTTAGCGGTAGAAATGTTCCAGGCAGTGGGAACAGTGAGTGCAGTGGTCCTGTGGTAGAAGCATGCCTGGCAAGGAGGCCTGTGTGGCTGGAACGTCGTGAATTAGTAGGAAAGCAGGAGGAGATGAGGTTGAAGAGGTAATGGGGTAAAGGCTGGGAAGGCTTTTCAAGCTGTTATAAGGACTGTGGCTTGTGAAGTGCAACGAGATTCCACTGAAGAGTCTGGAGCAGGGGAGTAACCCAAACTGACTGAGTTTTTGGAAAGGGTGGTGGCTGTGGGGAAAAGTGAGTGTAGGAAGGCCAGCCTGAGGGCTGAAGCTGGGAGACATCTGGAGGCTACAGCAGTTACTCAGATGAAAAATGATGGTGGTCTGTACCAGGGACATAGCCAGGGAGGGGTGAAGAGTTTGCGAAGTAGCTGAGTCGCTGGCTCAGAGCGAGCCCCCTGGAGCACAGAAGAAGCTGCCTAACTGGGGCTGGGGCCAGAGAAAAATACACCAGGACAGTCCAAGCCCCACTATCATAAAGCTTGCTTTTACGATGGCAGTTCTCTTTCTGCTTCTTGACAGTTAGAGACTCTCAGGTTCCTGGAAGAGGGCGCTGGGGCCAGGAGGGGAGGACACGGAGCATGTGTTCCTTCATCCTTCCTCAGCAGAATCAACAGATAGCCACTGGGTCACCGCAGCTCCCCACACTGCCCTGGGTGGCCTGTAGTCCCACCCCTTTCGGAGGTTCCAGTAACCACCGTGCTGTAAGTGGTTTGGCTGTTGCCTAGCCTAGAGGGTGGGCGTAAGGGCAGAGGGGCCTTTCAGCTTTCGGGCAAACCAGCCCCTTTGCCAGGTGGGGTCTAAGGAGAGACTCCTTGCTCCTCGGGGCACTCTCTCCAACTAATTCAAACCCTCTCAGCCAACACCCCAGTCAAAGGTGGGGATGTGGCAAAAGCAGTAGGAGCCATGACCATTGCTCAGTTCTTTTTGAAAATATAGACATTCAAGAGTGAATATATCTCCTCCTTGTTTAAAGCTCAGATGATTTCGAGGCACCTGGGTGGCTCAGTCGGTTAAGCATCTGACTCTTGGTTTCAGCTCAGGTCAAGATCTCAGGGTCATGAGATCCAGCCCTACTCAAGCTCCGTGCTCAGCAGGGAGTCTGCTTGAGATTCTTTGCCCCTTCCTCTCCCTCCCCCCGTTCCTCCCCCTTATGTGTTCGCTCTCTCTGTCAGATAAATAAATAAATTAATTAATTAATTAATTAAATAAATCTCAGATGATTTCTATTTCATTAGGCAGTGCCTTTAACAGAAGGAGCTTTGCAGTATAATTATACTAAAATTACACTGGGATTCGGTTCTAGTTACTGCTACACTGACCACAGCCAAGTGTTCCTGGGGTGATAAAAGCCAAAAGGCCCCCAATAATTTGCAGTAGTGGGAGCTTTGTTCTAAAATAATGGAAGGACCCAAGGGAAAACTTAGGTTTCCGACCTACTCTTTCCACAGCTATTCTGTCAGCTGATAAAAATAATGTTGCCCTGATGGTGTTCCCCATTTACAAAGTCCCCACACAGCCATGGGGCAAGTGGGGCAGGCAGCGCTGTCTGTGACTGAAGAGTGCATTTGTGCACTTTCTCACTGACGTGCAGTTTTGTGTGCTCTTTCCCAGTGTCTAGGCACAGGAAATAGCCATGGAAATGGGGTGCAGATTCGTTTAATATCTGGATAATTAATATCTTAATTTTTAAAGCTCACTACCACCGAGAACACCTTCTTAATTAAAACACTGTAAGAACTTAACTGAAGTAATTCTGCCCTCTTTCTCATCTCTCTCATGCTCTAAAAAATTCACTTGAATCATTATGCCTTCTGAGGAAAATCAAACGCTTTGAAAATATTTTTACTGCCTTCTGTCTTTCATCTCTCCTGCCCCTTGTGGTAGGTTCTTAGGGTTCAGGAAGAGGACCTGCTTGCTTCTCAGTCAGGTGACTTGTATGGTTTGTTTCTTCATTGCCAGTCAGCTTTTCTGTACAAGTTGGCCTAGAAGTTCTAGAAGTTGTCTGGGCCACGGTGAGAGGACTTCCTCCTCCCTTCGGGACTCTAAAAACACTTGGGAAGCTAGCAGCACGGAGGGAGCCTGAGCGTGACCAGAGAGGATCGCATTCAGCAGGGGTAATGACTCTATCAGCCTGCCTTGCCTTGGGTGACCCACACGTGCCCGAGGGTGAAACAAAGCAGCTCTTACTCCCAGAGCGACAGCACTTGAACATCTGATGATAGGCCAGGGATGAATAAAGGAGAGTCACATACCACCACCCCTTCCCCAGCTGAGGACAGAGCTCACAGCAGAGAGAGATGACAAATATACCGTGAATCTAACAATCAGGGACCCGGACCTAATGCCAGTACTCTTCTAGCTGTGTTTAGAAACCAACTCCTTGAGAGACTCTGGACTCTTGAAAAACAAACTGAGGGTTCTAGAGGGGAGGAGGTTGGGGGGATGGGTTAGCCTGGTGATGGGTATTAAGGAGGGCATGTACTGAATGGAGCACTGGGTGTTATACAGAAACAATGAATCATGGAACACTACATCAAAAACTAATGATGTAATGTATGGTGATTAACATAACATAATAAGATAAAATTAAAAAAAAAAGGGAAACCAACTCCTTCCTGGTTGTCATGACTCAGCCTCAGGGCTCAGGTGTGGTCCCAGCTGCAGAGACACCAGAATTCAACCAGGGTGGTCTGGCTGCAGCCAATCGAAATTCTTTCCCTGAAATGTGTTTCTCGAGAATGAGACTTTTAAGTTATTTTTACAAATTAGACAATCTCACGCACTGCCCTCTCCATATGATGAACATCTTGGCTTACAAACATTCTTCGATGAATAATTTTACGCTTGTAACAAAGTTCTGACCTGAAAGAACATACATGAGGAGGTTGTAAAGTGATTCTAAAAGCTTTGGATCATGGGAAATTTTTAAAGGAAGGAAAAATGTCATTCTTTCTAACCTAGTAATGAAAGTCCTTACCTACCTTAGCTTGTTTGCTTTTTTAGGTACCTCGGGTCTTTATCGGTAAAGACTGTATAGGCGGATGCAGTGATCTGATCAATATGCATCAGAGTGGGGAACTGTCGGAGCGGCTAAATCAGATTGGAGCTCTACAGTAATTCTAGGTGAGTGAAGGGTGGGGTGCCCAGCCAGAACACTGGGAGATGGTGGAATTCTGCTGGATTTTATTATACTCCAGAGAGGCAGTTCGGTTAGAGGAAGAGTGATGCGGAGTGATTTATAGAACTGTGATGTCGTTTAGGACTTTACAAAGAGGTTGTGTGGATAGGAGGAAATCCTTTTAGTTGACCTTCATTTAACAAATATTTATTGAGCACTTACTATGTGCAGACACTGTACGAGGCACTGGGAATAGGGAGAGGAACAAAAAGATAACAGGGAACCTCTCTTCTAGAGTGGCAGCCCGACCAAAAACAAGTAAGTAAATAATTCCTGAAACAAATTAATAAAATAATGTGATAGAACAAGGCAGGGGGTGGGGAGCAAATTTAGAGCTGATATGGTGAAGGAAGGTCCTTCTCAGCTGGTGGAGCTGAGACCTGGTTGACAAGAAGGAGACAGCCATGTAAAGATAAAGCTAAAGAGCTTTTTGGGCAGAGGAAATAGCACGTACAAAGGCCTGGAGCTGACAACAAGTCTGGAACATTCAAAGAACAGAAAGCAAGCAAGAAGAGACTGAGTGAAGTGCAAGGAGAAGGAAGAGTAGCCAGAAGTATGGGCGGGGAGCCAGGGTACAGAGGCCAGGGTAAGCAGTTTGGATTCTTCTCCATGCAATGTTGAAATCAAAGTAATTTTTGCATTACCTGTGTTCACACTGTAAATCAATTTAATCTAATTGGATTCCCAAATGTCAAAACAAAGTTTTCTGCAGTTGTCACCCAAAGGAGATCCTTGGCTGAATGGAAAGCCATAGGGTGATGAACTCTTCAAAAAAGGAACCAGGGTACTTTTTGGGGTCTGATGAGCTCTTTTTTCCCCTAGCTCTCATTATAGTTAGCTAGTTGCCAGTAGGCCGGTTCCACTCACTGACAAGCAGAGAGACTCAGTGGGTTTTTCCAGTCAAAGGAGATTTTGACTAATGTATGGTTCTCAGACCAAAATATTTTTTGAGGGATATTTATTGCCCATTAATTAATAACTTACCCTTAAGCAATGTGTATATGTAATTTCTGGTGCTTAACTCAAAATAGCAACAGAAGTTAAAAAAGAATTTCTGAAAAAGTATAATTGAATACCTTGAAATGAAGTAGTCAATACTATAAAGCTCCTGATCACAGTTCTTACATCATTGCAGCAAGTGAACACTAAGTCTGTTTGTGGTCTCACCCCATATATCAAAGCACTCAAAACCCAGTTAACTGTGGTGCCAAATATTTTCTATTCTGGAACACTTTTGAGCAATTTAGGCTTAGATTAAAAATGGAAGAAAACTAATGACTTTGTTGGGAAGATATGAAAGACCATTTCCCCAACTACCTCTGTGTCAGGGTGGGCGTTAGAGTCCCCCTTATTCACAAGGTCTATTCGCACTGTCCTTCAGCATTCTATGATCTCAGTATTTTGCTGCCAACTGTATCTAAAGGCCATCTGTAACAGTGTGCTCAAATAGCAGGAGTAAGTATTCTGGTAATGGAAAAAAAAAGAGGGGACTTTATATTTCCACGAAAATCCACTTCTTTGTATTTTGTTTTTCTGGCAGAGCAGATCCCAGGATGATATCCCGCTGAGAGCTGGAGGGCACTTCCATGATAACCACACTTCCTGGTGGATGGATCTGCGGCTAAAATCCACAGCAACTGTTTACTTAAAATTCTGATATATATGAACAAAAAAAAGGGGGGGGATTATTTTGGCAAAAAGAGCTTCTTCTTTTGACTCAGTATTAAAAGTGGACCAACTTGCCCCAACCCACAGGTCTGAGAAGGTTGATGGGTATCTTGGGTTTCTTCTCGATTGGCCCTTTGGGTTCCAAAAGACCATGACAAGTGATGGCTTAGGATTCACTCAATGACCCAAAAGGTTGTCTTTCTCTTTGGCACATGTCTGTTACTAACTGTCCCATATGCTAGGACACCTCTACCTCTAAGCCAGTGTTTCTCAACTAAGTTTATCCCAGGCCCCCCAGGATGAATCTGTAATTGGTTTTCTGCTACTGCCTGAAAGGTACTTTGTTGAGTTTGACTTTATAGAATTTGCATTACAAAAACAATAGGTCTTTTGAATGTGCTTTTCCAAGCTACATGGGTCTCCCAGGTCATGATCCCCATCCCACCCCATCTTATCTTGAGAATCACTGCTTGGAATCAGTGTTCTTAACCTTGATAAGTCACAGATTCTCCTAGAAGTGTTCAACAATTACTTGAAGAGTCTTAAGGACCTAATTTGAGAAACACCACATGAAAACTTAAGCATGGCTGGTCTTCACTTGATGCCACAGAGATCACAGCTGCTGCAATCATGGCCACCTCTGTTATGTAAGATGGTCGTCCAGGTAATCCGGAATAAGTGTGTATTAACTTGTTTAGATTATGAACAGAAGTAAAATACAACATTTAAAATGTTATCACAGAAAACTTGCAAACCCCTCCCCCAAGAATAGGTCTGTGAAAGTGGCCATATTTGAGAAACATCATTCCTAAATGATTTTTTCTCTCTCCTTTTTCCCTCTGCTCTATGAAAACTTGAGTCCCTTATTGTGAAGTTTGTTCTAGAATTGGGATTTTAAGTTAATTTTCTTCTGCAGTCTCTAGTGTGAATGGTTAATTGACAGTGATTTTTGTCTAATTCTTTTCTATGTTCTCAGTACCTTGAGGAGTAATATTAATGTGTACTACACCATATTAAAACTTTATTCATGTTTGTTCCCTACCATTATAAATAAAGGCACATGCTATTGTCCTTCACTGAGTACAAATGGTTGATGTGATTTTTAAATTTCATATTGAAATGACAAATAATTTGACTATGTCAACACTAACCTATTGAATAATGTTTAGAATCCTATAATAGTTTCATTTCACATTCTATTTTTTCTATTTCTTACCTAATACCCTTCAACCAAATGGCTGTGGATGATTGTGCAGGTTACGTCCTGCACAACACTGTGAATGCCCCCCTGGGGGTTATGCAGTGTGCAAAATCCCCTCCAGACCATTTGCCCATACTTGCTTTCACACTTCATCCTCAAACACCCTTCTTCACCTTCGATTTACTTTCAAATTTCTTCTCCGAGGCCTGATTTACAGATTATCTCCCCTGTACCTACGCTCTCCTCTCACTGCCTTTGGACAATAAAACGCCACTGCTGTCTCTTCTGTATCCTAAAGCATCTGTATACTGGTACTTCAAAACTCTCATAGGGTTGAACTGCAGTTAACCCTCTGTACTGGTCTCTTGCCAGATTCAGAAATACTCAAAGGCAAGAGTCTCGACTTAAACTTCATTGTATGCCCAGTTTCTAGCACAGATCTTTTTTTTATCAAAGCAATACATGCATGAGATTAAAAATGTCAAACAAAAGTTCTTCCTATTCCACCCATCTGCAAACCCTGTTTTGACCACACATTTATCAGTTTCATTTAAGCCTCTTAAGAAATGTAAGATAGGGGCACCTGGGTGGCTCAGTTGGTTAAGCGACTGCCTTCGGCTCAGGTCATGATCCCGGAGTCTTGGGATTGAGTCCCACATTGGGCTCCCTGCTCGGCGGGGAGCCTGCTTCTCCCACTGACCCTCTCCCCTCTAATGCTATTTATCTCTCGCTTGCTCTCTAATAAATAAATAAAATCTTAAAAAAAAAAAAAGAAATGTAATACAGGTGCCTGGGTGGCTCAGTCGGTTGAGTGTCTGCCTTCCACTCAGGTCATGATCCCATGGTCCTGGGATCGAGCCCAGCATCGGGCTCCCTGCTCAGCGGGGAGCCTGCTTCTCCCTCTCCCTCTGCCCCTTCCCCCAAGTTGTGTTCTCACTCACTCTGCACTCTCTCTCAAATGAATAAATAATCTTAAAAAAAAATGTTAAGATCTATTAGACCTATATAAGAGTGTGTAGAATGCATAGTTCTGTGTAAATGACCAGCCATATATCTGCCTCCTCGGTTAAGAAATGAAACCCCTCTCTAACAGAGCCCTTCTAAGGTACTGCTAAAGCACCAGAGAGGCCCACGTGCCCCTTCCCAACATATCCGCTTCCTCCCTCCACAGAAGTAACCACTAGCTCATTTTTGTTGTAATCATTCTTATGCTTCTCTATAGCCTTACTCCCTAAATATCCCTAAGCAACACATTTTAGTTTTGGAAAAGCAATAACAAACATCAACCCAGCTGTGTAAGGCAAGGGCAATATTATCACCATCAGGTGAATGGCCCCAGGAGAAGATAAGCTGAACAGAGGCTCAGAGTCTTCCACTGGCTTTGGTTTCCCTGGGGGTTTACCAGAGGGGTGGCCCTGAATGAGTCCTTGGGCAGCCCAGGTAACCCCTGGTGGGAAAGCTAGTGTGGCAACAAGTCCTGGGCATCCCCCAGAAAGAGAGTCCATGGACGTGGGCTGCTATGCATTTTCTCCGTCTGCAGCCGCCCTCCAGCTATCAGCAGCGGGTCAAAGCGCAGCACTTGAGCGGCAATGTGGCACACCTGGACCCCTCAGCTAGCGCAACATGTGGTACGAAGAATGGAAACGTCATCAGCACAGGGCAAGCTAAGTACAGGTAAGGATCTGCTTTGGGTTCATCTGGGCACTCTCTGCTCAAGTTAGAAAAAAAAAAAGATGCAAACTAGAGAGCCATCAACGGCTGCTGTCTGGGCTGGCTGCCCTCTATGTCCGGGCATGGCTCTCTGCCTGAGAGCTCTCTTCACTGCCATTCTGAGTACTCTGTTTCTCTCCTGGGCTGGATCTCCTATTTCCCTCTGTCAGTATACATTTGTTACAGCTCAGCTGCTTTAACAAAGGCATACTCTCTCTCCGGACAGTCTAGAGGCAGGCAGGAGGCTTTGCTCCACGATGTCACAGTCAACCCAAAGGTTGTACGCACCACTTCCACTCATGCCCCATTGGCCAGAACTGGGTCTACGGCCCCAGTTAGCTGCAGGGAGGACAGGTCATGCTGTCCCCACTGGGAAACACTTTGCCCAGCTAAACTCCGAGAGGTCTACACCAAAAGAAAGAAGGAAAGTTGCCAGATTGTGTCTTTCTCTTTTTTAGTCTTCTTTTTTATTTTGGAAGACCTATATCCTCCACGGTTTTTAAGAAAGAGCATGGAAGGTAAATTTTTTGAAACCCTGCTTGTCTAAAAATGCTTTCATTGTACCTCCTATTTGACTGATAGTTCACCTGACTATATAGCTTCTAGTTGGAAGTCGTTTTCCTGCAGAAGTTTGGAGACACGGCTCATGGCCTACTGTTTGCAGCGCTGCTGCTAAGTCTGAAGCCATTCTCATTCTTGGGTCTTTTGTAGATGACCTGTTTGGTCTTCTTACTTATTTTATACTCCAGCAGCATATAAAATCTTCCCTTTAAGCCCCATGTTCTGAAATATCATGGTGCTATGCCGTGGTGAGGGTCTATCTATTTTCATACATTTTGGGGAGTACATGGAGGCTTGGAGGGTCCACAGGCAGTTTTATTGAATTATTTGATACTTTCCTCCCTTCCATTTTCTCTGTGTTCTCCGTGTGGAACTCCTAGTAGTCAAACAGTGGCTTTCCTGGACTTGTCCTTTAACCCTTGTTCTATTTTTCTCTTATTTTTTTCCCTGAGGGATCTACTCATCTTTCTCTTCTTATTTTTCTAGTGAGATTTTAATTTCTGACATCAGGTTCTTAGTTGCCAACAGCTCTTCAGTATTATTTGAATGTCCCTTTTTTATAAGATTGTTTTTGTTTCATGAATGCAGTATCTTATCTCTCTGAGGTTATTGTGATTTATTAAAGCTTCTTTACTGATTTTTTTCCAGCTGTGATTTGTTTTATTTCCCAGAGTTCTTTCTTGTTCTTAGTTGTTGTTGTTTTTTTTCTTTTTCCTCTTGTTCTTGTATTATGAATGCAAACACATTTTTTTTTTTAATCTCTCAAAGATACTAATTATACTTGGGGCTTTTCTAAAAGCTCTCTTCTGATTCCTGCATTATCTCTTTTCCCACTGAGTCCCTATTTTCTATTTCTGCTTTATATTTGAACCATTCAATGTTCTGCCCTGAACATTTGAGATCTGGCTATCCGCACCTATTTAAGAATGAGGCACCAAAAACTGGCTAGAACATCTGTGGGCATGGATTGGGTTCATCCACCGGTGACCTTCACCACAGTCTTTGTGCAAATGTTACCTTCTCAACAAGGCCTCCCACACTAAACTCTATTTAAAGTTTCACCTAACATTCCCTCTCCCTCTCCCTTGTTTTATTTTTCTTTATAGCATTCATTACCTAATATAGCATGCAGTTTATTTTGTTTGCTATCTGTCTTCACTAAAATGTAAGCCCCTTGAGGCCAGGAATCTGTGTCTGTTTATTTACTGCTCTACCCGCAGCATTGAGAAGACTGGTTGCCCATAGTAGGCATTTGATAAATATCTGTTAGATGTTTGGATGGATGGATGAATGAATGATCAGGTGAGGATCCCCCAATGGTTAGTTCTGGATGTTTTTCTTTTAAGCCATTGGGTTTCCCCACTTTCACAGCTAAGGGGTTGGGTCTGGGTACCAGGTTCTGGCTGCCAAGCAGGGGAAAGGGATTTGGCAGCCCCCAGGCCAGTGTGCAGTCTCTCCCGTAATCTCCTGTTACCCATCAGCTCCTTGCTGAGTAATTCTGTGTGATATGCAGGAATAGAAAGGAATATCATCTGAAGGGCACCAGAGGTTGGCACAAGGGGTTGGCAGAGAGAGCAACAAGAATAACCAGGCAAACAATTCAGAGCCAAAGCTCTACTCCTGTTTACTTTAAAAAGAAAGTGATTCAGTCTCCTGCACATGTCCCATTTTAATAACAGCTGTAGATGTGCTGCTTCCAGCCTGGCCCTTGGAATGGGACAGCCATCCTTCCAAGTTAAAGGCTGTCCAAAGACGGCCCTTAAGGGGAAATAATACCTAGGGTGATAAATGGGTCTGTGTGGCCCAGATCACACTATTTATATCCCCAGTGAATATTATTAGGCCGTTATCTTAACATTTGGTTGTTAAGAGAAAGCCACGCTCCCTAACTCACTGTACCACAGTTGTTGTTAGCAGGTTCTGGGAA